GCCCTTGATATGCTAATACAACCGGCTGCCCATGAGACATCCCTGCCTGCCCAGGAATCTGGGTATCCCTTACCTTGTACCCCAGAGGTTTGCCAGGGGGTGGCAGCCAGTTGAACCGGATCTTTCTGGAGTTGAGGGCCTGGGCATTTGGATTGAGTGGAGCACTGATTTTGCCCTTGGGAGACTGAGGGACTTGGCCCAGACCCAGTGGAAGTGGTGTGCCATCCACGACCTCTGCCAGGGGAGAAGAAAACATCATGTACAGGAAGAGACAAGAGACTGTCCACATGTAGAGATATGCTGCTTCTCCAGCTCCTTCTACCTTGGCTCTCACCACACTGAACAGTCACCACCAAATTAGTCCTCAAAATCCTCTAAGAGATAGGTCACTATTACCTATGTTTCACAGAGAAGGGAAACTGAGGCACAGAGCAGTGGCATGACATGCCCTGGGTCACACAGCCAGCCAGAGCCAGAGCCAAGAATAGAACCCAGGAGTCTTGTACCCATGAACTAACCACTGAATTGTGTTGCCTCTTCCAAATTGCACTTTAGGGTTATGCCACAAGGGTGAATAACTGGACATGCCTCCCTCTTGGCTTGGTTTTCTGGGAATGCCTGGTTGTGATATATCACATTTCATGATGCTTCAATAATGGTGCATTGTTTTGATCACAGTTTAACTGAGTAGCCCTGGTAGCATTATGGGAATACAGGCTGGGAAGGGACCCTTCAGTTCATCAAGTCCAGCCCCTTGTTTCTGTCAGCAGTCAGATCATACAGTCACTCTCAAGCTGACCAAGTTCCATTTTAAAACTAGGTAGGTATTTTGCCCTGTTGGGAGACTCTTTCTGAACTGTACTCCTCTGGGCGCCAGAACCCTTTTCCGAATTTCCAGCCTGAGTGTATCCACGCCCAGAACCTGTGCAGTGATTTCAGTGTTCTCTACCCAGCCAGCAGTGATAACATTTAGCTCTCTGACCATGCCTACCAGACACCCATACATAGCCTGCCACGTGCAAAAAGATTTCTCCATGTATTTCTGCACAGGTCTCTGAACCCCAGGGAGTCCCCCTGATGTGTGCCATCACTTTAATGATGTAGGCAGTGCTATGTGGTTTATCAGACTGACTCCTCCTCCCCCCTGCCACAGTGATGGCTGCAAAAAAATCCATAGGAAAAGAGAAACAGGAAAAATAAGGTTCTGCTTCTGTTTGCAGTATGTATTGGGCAGCTCCTCTCCATTCCTGGGAACGAGCTAAGATGTACACTTCTACCTCAAGGGGAGCTCAAAACATACTTAAATACACTGACTAGGCTGCATATAGCAACATACATTCCCACAGGAGGGGGCTGAAATGGGATTAAAACCAGGATTTGATTCTTGTGGGGGTCTTCAAAAAAAAAGGGCTGCTCATCACAATGCCCTAATGAAATCGGAGACCCCACCCCCAGGTTATGATTTCAAATCTTACAGGGGGGCTTTTCTTTCTTATGGGGGGCCTCAGCCTCTCCCTTCTCTGTAACTCAAACTCTGATTAAAACCCAGATCTGCAGCATGCTGAGGGGCAAGACATGGCCCATGGAGGTGAAGGAGCATCTCAGATTACTCATAAGTTCAGAAAGATATATTGGCACTAGTTGCCAATGCAACATGCTGCGCAGACTGCACATCTCTACCTTTCCTGACCTAGCATCATTCCCTACCAGTGAAGATGGCAATGCAGGAAGAGCACGAATTACCAGTGCTGCCCACACCCACCTGGGTCAGCAATGGTCACCATAGTTTGTGGGTATCTGCCGATCTTGGCCCCATACTTGGGGTTGAGGAGATCCACGGTGAACTGCTTGAGCTGGCGGGTGTGCAGAAGGGTGTCTATCTCAGTCAATTCCAGCAGTGGCACCTGCACCTCCTTCCGTGTCTCCCCAGGTTGGAAGAGCAAGTCACCCTCTGTGAAGATGTAGTCCTGGGAATGGAGGAAGAGCATCTTGAAGTGTTGCACACTCTCCCCATAGCGCACACACAGGACACAGCTCATTAGCACACACTGTCCCCACCATGCCATCTACTCCTGAACCACCCCTCCTATGTCAGAAGGACATTGCTCAGTGTTGTAGCAGGGTCAGAGAGGAACCTGAATAGCTGGATTCTCAATGACTATAAGCATACACACAGCCTTTTCTCCAGTGTCATCACTTCTGCAGTGTACTCCATGTGCGATAGGACCCAAGCTTTCACTCTGCTGTAGAAGGGTCTGGAGGGGGTGACTGGTATCTGATTCCTGCCGTGCTGGAGGTTGTTGTGGCTTATCCTGACTTTTCCACACTGGTCATTACTGCTTGAATGTCTGGACATTTTCCAGAACAACAGAAAAGTCTTGTGTTCACCAGCTACAAGCCCAGCTGTCACATTCCCACCTCCACTGGGAAGAGAAGGTGGAACCACCTGCCCCACTGTGGGCTTGACACTCTGGACCTCACTTCCCTTCCGAATTTCCATCCCAGGGGAAATTCCAACATTTGAAGTCTTTGAAAAGCCATAATGCCCAGGCAGCTAAATGAAATGCTCCCTAATTTAGGCAATGAAAGTCAAATGCCTTTAGTAGGAAATTGATAGAATTCTCTCCTTCTGTCTGTGGTGAATCAAGTGGATCAGATGGTACAGAAAGGAGAGGTCAGGTGAGGGAGACAGGACAACCCTGATAATCCCCAGTTCTCACACTATGAGACTTTGTATGAACTTTGATCAATTCTCCTACTCCACTGAGCAGTCGACATTTGCTAGTATCATTCTCATTTCACAAGTTGAGAAGCTAAGGTAGGGACATCAGTGAGTCTGTGGCAGAGCTGAGAAAAGCATAGGGCTCCTGAGCCCCATGTTGTGCTCAGACCACTAGGCCACACCTCTGTCTCTATCCTTGGTATACCTGCCATTCATTTCAACCGAGATCTGCTTCTCCCACAGTAGACCCTGAAATACCCTTTCCCTCATCCCAACAGTTCATACTACTACACCCAGCTTGGACAGGACCCACGGGCATGGTCCTTACCCTGCCTTCCTTGGCAGTAAGATCCCGAGTCCTGTAGGAGATCTGGGATTTCCCATGGTCTATCATCTCACGAACAATAGGGATCCTAGCCACCTGGTCAAAGCGGCTGTGAGAGTAGGCTGGCTGCATGAAGCTGATGAGGCTGCTGGCTGAAAGAAATCATAGAGAAAAAATGTGTGAAATGCACAGATATCAGATGGAGGTTTATTAAAAATGTATGTGCCTATTTAACGCAGCTATGTTTTCACACACAATCATCCCATCAAAGCACTACATTTCCAGTAACTGAAAGACCAGGATTCCCACCATCAACTTATAGATGGAGAAATGAAGGCTCACAGTGACTGAGCGAGTGAATTCAAAATCACACAACATATCATAGGGACAGCCAGAAACAGAACCCAGGAGTCCCAACTCCTAGCATCCCGTTCAACTTATCAGATCACAGTAATGAAGCTTCTGGGGCTTGTATCTTGACATACAGACTTCTGTGGCTGCCCATATTTCATGAGTTAGGAACAGAAGTATTGGTGTATTTCAGATATCAACAGAGAATCCATAGCAAAAAACCCACTGAGAATCCCATAGTATTTGCAGTGCTGTTTCTAAGAACAAATCCCTAGGGGAGATGGTGTAGGGGTATCTTTCTGATGATATGGAAACGTTAAGAAAGAAAAAAAAGTGGGAAAGGGAAGAACAGGGAGGAGAAGAGGAACTGACAAAAGGAAGGAGGAAACAAATAGAGATAATTATCCCTTTCTACCCAGACCAACATTCTCTTTGTAGGGTGCCTATGAAAGCTGTTGCTGAAAGCAAGAACAAATTAGCTGGATCATTGAGCCTGTCAGGTCAGTACAGAAAGGAAGGAGCAGATGTGAGAGATTTTTCCTCCCACCTGACTTGATGAACCTCACTTATGAGTCTAAAAATGGCCCTGGTCTAGCCACAAGCTACTGAGCTTGAAGCAGAAACTCCCAAGTGTGGCTCTGTGATTTGTGTTCTGCAGGAGGTCAAACCAAATGATCAATATGGTTCTTTCTGGCCTTACAATTTATATAAAGTGTGTCCAAGAATTTGCCCTCTCTTGTACAGACACATTCAGGCACTGAAATGCAGGCACACACACGTCACTTGTACCCTGGATACAGTGCCTTCACCTTGTTCTTTGATGATGGTGATGTTGACAAGTTTGCGTCCAATCTTCGCTATCCCTGTGGGGACATCAATGGCCTCCACCTGCAGCTGCTTCTCATCATCATCTTCTTCCCTGATAAAGAGTGGGACGCGGACATCCACCAGCTCCACGCCTTCCTGGAACTCCACCATGCCATGGGCATCTGTGAAAGTGGAGGAGGTGAAATGTCAGAGTTGGAAGGTCCTTTCTACATGTCCCTGTTTTGGTCAGTAAGCCTACTCCAGAGCCTTACCCTGGTCAGAGATCACGGTGTAGTAACCAGGTGACACCTTCAGATCATTGAAGGCCTCCTGCCCGATGTGTTTTTCTGTCACCTTTATGATCTCAGGTTTGGCTCCATGGGGGGCACTGAGCACTGTGTCCAAAATGGTGTGGTCCTGCCTGCAACCAAAGTAGGATGAGAGAAAGAAGGCCTGGCCTGGCTCAGGGGCTGACAGTCAGACATCAATGCCAACAACTGGTGAAAGAAGACAGCCTGCTACCAAGGATTTCTATTAGCTGATACATCCATACATACATATCCATGTACAGGCACTCACACAGGAGAGGAATGGAGAGTTAAACACTGAAAGGAGTGGAGGATCAACCTACCTTTTTCCTGCATTGGGCTGCACCCTGGGGGAGAAAACAGAACAGCAAGGGTGACTGATCCCATCGAATTCCAGCTATGTGAAGGTATCTGAATACCTCAGATCCCTGCAGGTTGGAGCTATGTAAGCTGCCCTGTTGGCTCCAGCTGCTGAGTACCCACATGTCAGTGCTGGAGCAGGAGTTTGAGTCCCACCTTTGTCACTCCAGTTTCTGGTCTGCAGTGTGTGGCCCATGATCCCACCCTCTTATGAGTTCTAGTCCTGAGGACACAGCTTCAGGTCATTCCTACTAGCAACAGGATATTTCCTTTGTCCTCTGGAGTGGAGACCCCCCCAAAAATGGTTTATATATCCTCATGGCCCCAACTCTTCCAGATATGAGAGCAGATGTGGCTAGAGACATGGTTTACAAAGGGTTAACTTGGGCGAACAAAAGGAGGGTATTTTTGTATAGGGCAAAATCAGGCCTTACTGGAGTCACAAGGGAATCATGAGTCCCAGGAATGTAGCTAGAAGTAGCTGAGATTACCCAGATACATGCCTCTGGAAACCTCTGCAGACAACGTTGCAAGCATGTGGAGACCTGGCATGAACACCAGGACTAGGGCTGTGCCCATGCCAGTGAGAAGGGTCTCTCCTAGAATTTACCCATGGAGAGTTTATGGTGCCCCTTTATTCCAAGTGCCCAAATGAGAGAAACTGCACACAGGTGTGTGCTGTGTGTCCCCTTATTACCAGCACCCTCTGTCCCTGCCCCAGGTCATCTCCCCTCTCATCCCCTCCCCAAGTCACTCACCTGAACTTAGTCTGTTGGAGTCTGTGAGCACCAAGAATGTGCTTGTAAGCATCATTCAGCTGTAAAGAGCAAGAGAAAATCTTTTACAGCCTCAAGCTTCCCTCTAAGGTGACTAGGTACCCAGCAGGCACAATGCCAGCAAACCAAACCAAGTCCTCCCCAGCCTCTCCCTCACCACGACCCACCTACACAGGGCACCAGGCCCCCAAAACCTATTCTCTTCCCCATCCCTCAGTGCCAGGTCAGGCAGAGGGAACCAAATGCCTTCCTTTCTCCTTGGTACTGCTCTTGGTAGTGGGGGAAAACACAGCCCAGTTTTCTGCGCTTGAAAGCTTTGTTGCTCTCCACTGCCTTTGTCACACAAAAGCTTACACAAGTTGTTACTTATTCCCATCCCCTATAAGGAAAGGCAAACCCAAGACAGAGCAGTTCAGCCCCCTTACATTCTCTTCCACCTCCTTGCGCAGCTGCTCGCATTCATGGGTGTCTGGTTTCGTGAGGTTCTGGGTGAAAAGCCGAGCCAGTCTCAGAGAGATGCCGTATGGGACTGGAGAGAAAAAATCCACCTGGTTAGACCCTCCTGGAGTCAGCCAGAAAAACAACCTGATTAACTGCTAGAAGCCAGTGCAAGTGGCCCTGGGTGTCCTGAGCCCTGGGCAGTGACATTCAGCTTCCATGGCACAGAATACTCCACACAGCCCTCAGGTCACTGGGCACCACATCCAGAAAGCACTGAGTGAGACACAGCCAGATCCTGAAGAATGAAAGGAGCTGGAAGCTGGAGGAAGAACTAGCCCAGCACTACTCCAAGCTGAAGGGGGATGGAGTGATAATCATCGTCCCCTCTCCCAGGTGGTAAAGAATATCCTGAAGGAGCAGCTCTGGGCAAAGGAAGCTAAATCCAGGTAATATCTATGTGAGCTATGGAAGTGTGTAGAAATGGGACATCTGCTTAGAAAGTCCATCACTAGCTTAGAACCCCTCAGGGCAGCTGCCCAGGGATCTCATACCCCCTGCACCATGCACTGTGCAGAGGGTGGTGTGGGTGGCTGGGTGGTGGTGTGTCCTGGGAAAAGAGTTCATCAGGAGTCTGAGGACAGCAAAGGGCCAGCAGACCACAATAGGGCCAGGCCCACCCACCCGCTAGTATCCATGACAGGCCCCTTATGCAGCACCCCAGGGTTGGCACTTACTCAGCTCTTTGGTGTTTGTGGCTGCATGGGAGGAGAAGCCTGGCTTGTGGACATTGTTGTTGATCTTCCAGCGCACGGTGTCTCTGCCCTTCAGAGAGCCACTGCGCAGCATGGGGGTGTCCAGGTGGTCGGAGGCCATGAGGCTCTGCCGGAGCATGTAGTGGTCCTCCTTGAACCCGACAGTGCGGCCTGTAGGGAGGTGATGGGACGAGCTAAGGCTGGGGTGGCTCCAAAATATTCCCTCCGCCCACCTCTCCTCTACATTCATGCCGTATTTGTGGGAAGAAGCCCTCCATTTACACACAGACCTGCACCTTCCCCATCCATCTGCCGTGCCCCAGAGAGGGAGCTACACTCCTTGGCCCAACTCAGAGCCTCTCTGCTGAGAACTCAGCAAGGGACCCAGGCTGAAACCTCTCTTCCCTTCCTAGGCTCTTCCAGCTTTCTCCTGGCTTTCTATGGAACTTGCTTTCAAAGTCACCCCCCACATCCTTAAGACCTTTCAAGAAGCCATGTGAGCCCTCAGCTGCCCAAGAGTCAGTGCTTTACTCCAAGGGACTGTGACTGCGTGACAAGCTAAGGGTAGCAGTGAGAGGTGATGAGTCAGCTCCTGGAGGGGACCCCAGGGCACATCTGCCCAGCTGGAAACTAGACTATGAGAATACTCTCCATATCTTTTGAACAGCATCTATTCAGTTGACTGAAGGAGGTGTGTGCGCCAGGGATGTAGGGCTCCAGCAACCCCCTGCTCCCTGGTGTAAAGAGCTCAAGAAGTGGGGAGGAGAGGTAAGAGCTTAGTGTCCCAGCCTGGCTTCCAATAAAAGCCCATTCTACTGGATCATTTTCCCTGCTGAGCCCTAAAAGCCTCTGAAGAGTTAACCGATTTATTGGGAGGGATGTCTTACTCTGGCACTGTCCCGGCTGTCCTCCTCCATGAAGGAAGCACAGTTTTGCACTTGCAGTATCACCTCCCCTCCCTCCAAAAAAGCAATTTAAATTTGTGATACCTCGTGCACAGCAGGGCAGCAGGGCCAGGCAAGCCTAGGAGACAAAGAACAATCCCACTGTGGTCAAAGATGCAGACAGACAACTCCAGTGCCAGTGCCCTGTCACTGCCATCTATGGCAGAGAAATAGCTGGTTCAGACATGCAAAGAGGGTCCAAAGATAACAGTTCCCCATGTTACACAGGAAGGCAAAAACCCCAGAAAAAAACAGAGTTCTTCTTGACTACCAAGAGCGGGTGACCAGTTTGGCCTTGAGTGGAAAAGCAGGACTCTCTGGCCAGGAGCCACCAGGTTCCCCAAGTACCGTACTAGAATGCTGGGACCTGGGCCCCTTTGCCATCTCCACCAACCTCAATGCCATCTTGGGTAGCAAGTACATGTCACCAAGGTACATACTGCAAACACTGCACCAGTGCCCTGACAGCTTCCTTCCAGCTGTTTCTCCACTGAGTGTGGAAGCCCCCGTGCACATGCATCACAGAAATAATCACGTGGAAGAAATAGTGTATGTCCTCTCATCTCACCCCAGCAGCTTCCTGCTGGGCTTTGGTCCTGACAGAACAGGCAACTCCTTTTAACAAACGGTGCATTTGGGGAGTGGTTGGGGGGGGTCGTGTCTGCAGGTAAATACAGCAGAGCTTCCCTGGTCCCTGCTGTGTTAACTACCATACACATAGCAGCATCTGCATTGCAATGGTTTTCTTTAGAGGCACCTGCAAAACATTTCACATTTCCTAGCAAGCTCACAAAACTAGGTAGGCACTTATCGTAAAAAAAAAAAATCAGCACTAAACAGTGGATTTAAAGTGTATGCAGATATAGCCAAAATTCACTGGCTTTTCCTCACCCACCTCCTAACAAATCTCTCCACATGCCAAAAACAGCCATTCTGAAGTACACCAGTGGCCAAACTGTGTGATTTCTTTGTCTTTGTGTGGCCAGGAAACCCCCCATACTAACCATGCCAGGGAAGCATATATTAACCTGGATATCTGCCAGTTACAACACAGCAATTGTTTTACACAGACCAGCAGGGCTGTATGTACTAAGAGCAGGACCTATATAATGTAGTTGTTCTATAGGTGAATCGGCACATCCTGACCCCAGTTTGGCTCCTACTGAAGTTACTGGCAAAATTCCCACCAATTCCAGTGGGAACTGGTTTTTCCCTTCCTAAACTACTTCCTGCTTGGACCCTTTTGGCATCCAGGCTGCATCAGAGAAAGGCACAGTGGGGCCCTTTGTCAGGCATGTCCCCAGTCCTTCCTAGCCACGAGGTCTGAACTGCAGCTCATGAACTAGGATTTATTGTCTCCAGTAGTACAGTGCCTGCGACCCACCCCTCAGGGCCTGAATGCAGTAAGGACCTTACCTTGCAGCAAGCACAGAACTTCCAGCAGAGCAGCAGCAGCAGCCCCAGAAGCAGGATCAGGAAGATGAGCAGGGGGATGAGCCATAGGAAGCTTCCTGGTGGGCACTCTGTGACCAACAGATATATCAGCAGTAATTAGGGGCAGTAGGACCCAACCAGTGTCAGGGGATGGGGAGGAGAAAGAGGCAAGACAAAGCAGATGGGAGAGGGGCAGGACCATAGCTCTGCTTGGGAGTGGAGGTGGGGGAAGGGAAGAGGGTGCAACCAGGCTTTCCTGGGGCTGCCCTCAGTGTTTGCTGATGGAGACTCCCACAAGACTCTGGCAGAGAGAGCCTCCCAGATCCTCAGTCACTTCGGTGCATCCCCTAATCTGGTGGCCACCATGGACTCAATATGTTTCCATCTGAGGGGCCTATCTGGAATGACTAGAGAAAAGGGGAGGTGCCAGTCCTGTTCTTAGGGGAGAAGCATCCACCTCCACAAAAGCATCCCCACCTGGTGCACTAATTAGCCCTCAGCAGAGCACCCATGGAGTGACTGGCATGCACAATGAGTCCTCACCCACCAGCAATGAATCCTCACCCCCCAACAATGCTCTGAGGGGGTGAGGATTCAATTTCTGGTCCCATGGTTCCCCCTTGGCTTGCCTGGGCTTTCCCAGAGGGATGAGGAAGGCCAGGGCAGACAACTAGGGCAGCATTCCCCAACGTTGGATACCGGGAGCACAATTTTTTCCTAGACCAAAATTCACAGCACACTTCACGCTTAAACCAAAAAGGGTATGTATATGCCACAGTGGTGCCCAATGTTTTCACCCCAGAGGAGCAGTGATGGGTTGATCCATGGATCCGATCTGTTCATGGGGCTGGTGCAGCCCGGGGCCCAATCCTGCCATGTGTGGGTTGGAAATTTGACAGTGAGGAAGCAGTGGCACTGTTAATTGCCACCGCTCCCACCACCAAATTTTTGGACCCATGAGGAACCTTACGGGTCAGATGACCTAGCTCTGGGTGTGTCTACACATGCTAAGGTGACTGAATAAACTCCGGTGCAACTGCGCCAGAGCCTATTGCTCCTGGGTGCACCATTTGCATGTGTACCTGGGACTGTAGCATGCTCAGCCAAGGCAGAGCAGCCCTGCCTGGCAGGGGACCTTGGAGGTCAGCCTGCCAGCCCAGGTCTGCTCTGACCTGACTCAATGTGCTGCAGAGCGGAGGGGCTAGCTGGGGCACAAGGGTGTTTTAGTGAGAGTCAAGCCAGCAGGCAGCCCCCATACTGAAGTACCCACGTGCCCCAGCCAGCCCCATCAGTGTCTACATGTGCGTAGTAGTGCACTAAATAATGCCACTGTAGAATAGTACTTGTGTTGGGCAGTACTATCCTACACCAGCATTTATTAGTTTACTGCAGCCTAATAGCACTGCATGTATAGATGCTTATGTTTTACTGTGAAGCTAATTAGGCAACTGCAGTAAAAGTCTCACGTAGACACACCTTCTGTGAGCCAGATGATTCTGATAAAGCATAATTTTTTGTGGCATGCTTCTGCCACTCTCAAAGCACAACCTTTGGGAATCAGAGAGCTAGGGTCTGCATGCTTCCTCAGAGAGGTGAGCAGGAGATGGCTCCTCACTCTTACTTCACTCCTTGCTCACCTTTCTTCTTCTGCACAAGGATGGTGTTGTTGTGTGGCATGCTGGGATCTCCTTTCAGGGTGTAACGGTATGTGCAATCGTCCTCCTCATCCTGGAATGAACAGTACTCATTCACCTCCTCATCTAGAGAGAGAAGCAAGATTGTTACTATATATGAGGCAGTGCCCAGAGGCCTCCCCCAGGGTCTGAGCCCTATTGTGCCCCTTTCCACACCCTCCCCCACAACACATGCACTCCATGGCCTGAAGGAACCACTTTAGACTCAGACACACCCTCCCACCCACACACATCTTTGAAGCAGGAAGGCTGAGCTCCTGGTACCTTTCAGTTCATCCACCATCTGGATCTTGGAAGGGCATTCAGTGCATTCCTTCCCCTTCTTCTTACCAGTCCCCCAGGCCTGGCACTGGACACAGGTTCGAGTATCTTCACACACCCCCAGCATAAGCTGTTCCCCAGAGACACAAAACATCAAACAGTGAGGAGCATGGGTGAGAGGGAAAAGCAACCAAATCCTAATGGTGAGGGCTGGAGACACTGTACATGCCAGAGCAGGGAGAGGGGATGTCAGACAGTGAGCAACAAGGGGATGGAGTGGGGAAATAACACGCAAAGAGCAAGTCTGCACAATCAGGCAGGAAGGTGCATGGGAACAAATCATGATTTAGTTCTACATCCTTTATTAATCTGCCAGGGGGCACAAACACACACTGAAATCCCAAACCACCTGGGGCATTTTTCCATTGAGATGCAGGGGGTGGGGGAGGTATGGTGTGGAACGTGGAATCTGAATCCCGGTCTGGCTTACAGTGGCTGGGTCCTGTACCTGGAGTGTGCACAACCCAACTCCCTTCTCCAAATGTTCTGAGAGAAATAAGGAGACCACGCATCTCCACAGAGGCAGGCCTGAGTCCAAATTTATAAAGCGTTCATACCGGGGTTTTGGATCAGGTCCACTACTATGAAACAATCTCCATTTATCTTCCCCACTGGGACAGCAGCTCTTCCCTACAGACCCCAAAGCTGTCTCAAACCTGACAAGCCTGCTTTGCCTGTGGCAGGTTAGGGTGTTATATCTTGTGTCAAGGTTGACAGTAGTCTTACAAAGAGTTTAGATTATGGATTGCATAGGATGGTTTGGATAGAGATGATCGTCTCAGGCAGGGGGTTGGACTAGATGACCTTCAGAGGTCCCTTCCAAACCAGCTTCTCAATGATTTCTATGTGTGTTCCTTCATTTACAGATGGTGAAACTGAGGTATGGAGCCAATACATGACTCTTCCCAAGCTCTCAGAGTTGGAAACAGGAGCCAGGAGCTACCTGGCGCTCTTAGCTCTTAGCTACCTGGCGCTCACACGTCCCCTCCTTTGAAATCCAGATACAAGATTTAATGTTTGGCTGTATTTTAGTACTTGTGATCCAAACAGAAGGTTGAGGAGCCTTCTGCCATCTTTCCAAAGCCTACAGACCTGGCTGCACTAGGTCCGTGGCACCCATCATGGAAGATATTCTGACTAGGAGAGAGCAGAACTATCCCAGTCCCCAGAAGATCACTGGGTATACCTCTTTGGCACTGTTTTTCTTCCCCCAGCTCTCCCCCAAGCCAGATGTTCTGCCAGGAACTCAGGAGCCAGCCACAATCAGAGAGGTGATGCATTAGGCCTATCAATCACTGACTTGACCATTGACCACAAAGCTGGGAGACTTACCATGGAGTAATTTATTCCGCAGGTGGGGTCCATGTAGGGAGAAGAGCTGTCACAAATGCACCTGCCACATTCACACTTCCCATGGCCATTGCAGATTCCCTACAGGAAAAAAGGGCCACGAGTCAGCCTCCGACACAAGCAATATGTTGTTACCCATTGTTAGTAGCAACAGGGTGCTCCTAAAACAGCAGACCTCCTCCCTAGCAGCCCTTCTCCCTCTCACCCACCTACAACCCCTGGGCCCATGGACAACCCCTGGAATGAAAATGACAAGGTCCAACAAGTCCTTACACATCAAGACATGGACAGATCATCAGCTGAGGCCAGGAAGAAACTCGCCTTTCCATGGTACATCATCAGGCTAAAAAGAGCACTGGGCCATCCACAGCCTGGCTTGCTCACTCCAACCTACTGACTTCAAAGCTCACTCCAATCCAAATCTCCCTCTGGCTAGTTGGCTTTTTCCTTGTCCCAGTGTAGAACAACTTCAAACCCAATGCTGGCCTTGCAGGAGAACAACCTACCCCATTGTTGTCAATGCAGGTCTCGTTGCTTGTGGGACATTCACAGCCAGGGCCTCCCCAGCCACTTGTACATGCACACTGGCCCATGTAGCAGCGACCCCGATCTGTGCAGAGGAAGGATGTTAATGGGTGAACTCTGACCCCATGGGCATCCCTGGCTCCTGAGGATACTCTAGCTTCTTATTTCCAGTCCCATCTCTGCTGCTCCCCAGAGGACTTCTGCACCTATCATCAGTCAGATGGCCAATACCTGGGTTTTGTCCTCACACTTTCCCCTTGGAAAGCTCCTCCCCTGTTCTCTCTGGGGGAGATGAAGAGGGATAGGCACCAGCAAGGCATAAAGAAGCAACAGGCTCCACTACCTAGAGATCAGGGACATGATCTAATAAAATTCACATCAGAAGGACTCTTTCCATTGGCTTTAGCTAGGGCTGGGTCCTCCTCAGACCTGAGCTGCACCTCTCTCATGCTATCACTGTGTCCAAACCTATTCTATGACCAGCAAAGCATGCTCTCTCTTGTGCACTGTATGTAAACGTGACCATTTCCCCTTTCAGTGGCTGGCTGATAGGAATAACAGAGCTATTACTACTAGCTAGTGGAACCCCCCTCCTTTAGCTTGAGTGGCAGAGGCCTCTGTTTTCAGAGCCCAAAGTCCTGAATTCTCTCCTCAGTGCTAGAGAGAGGTGTCTGTGAGCTGCACTCGTGTTCAATATGGGAAGAGCTGCTAAGCCAAGTGTGTTGCAGCTAATGCTGTATGTAAGAAGAGGAGCACAGCAGTGGAGTAGGTGAGGCATCTTGTTACATGAATCCAGAAACTGTGAGTTCGAGCTTCACTCTGGATATATGCTAAAGGGCACCTGGACATTTGGGCTAGGGAGGTCAAAGAAGGCTGGACATGATGCTAGCCACATCGTTACCTTGTGTGCCACTGGCCACAGAGACCTGAACACACTGGCCTGAGGTTATACCTGACTTTGGCCTTTTGTAGGGAGACTACCAGTTAACTCCAGATCTTGAGCCATATATGGGTCAAGGGCCAGCAGGGTAAAGACACACCCTGAAAGAAAAAACTAGGTCCTGCCTCTGCTCTTCCCCACAGCTTCTGTGCCCCCTATTGCAATCCCAGCAGCACTTGAAGCAGAGGAGCATAGGACTGGTAAGCTGCTCAGGTTTCTGGGCTGGGCTGGGGTCTGACTCCCTGCCCACCACTCACCATTACAGAGGAAGCCAGATGTACGTGGACACTGGAAGTTGTCAAATTCACAGTAGTCGCCCTCATAGCGCAGGGTCAGGTCCTCCGAGTAGCACTGGCATTTCCCACAGAGGCATTCACCCCGCCCCGAGCAAGGCTTCTCGTCCCCAGGGCGGATACAGGCCTGGTTGTCCTCAGAAAAGTCAGAGGAGCAGTCACATGAGTCCCCTCGCCTGGAAAATACAGACACGCTTCAGATATGTGCTTCAGAGGCTGTAAGCATTGCTGGCCCCACAGGGACACAGACTCCTGACCTGGGAATACTCATCGCACAAAGACAGCATCGCACCGAGGTGAGCAAGGGCACACCAAGGTCTTCAGACAACCAGGAATAACTGGACATGCAGGATGGGGAATAACTGAATATGCAGGGTGGGGTTCCCAGGATGGGGCATACTTCAGGAGCTGTGCTAGCCAGGATCCTTACCAGTTTGAGTAGCAGACACACCGTCCGCAGACGAAGTCCCCGTTGAATCCACATTTGGACGATCTACTTTCCTTTTGCTGTGAACAAGAAGCAGAGGAGAAGTCACTAACCCTCTTCCAGAGACTGAGCCCAGCCATGTGTTCACAGATCATGGTCTAGGATCTGGATCTTCCATGTTTGGCCACCTGGGGCAAAGGCTCTGCTCAACTATTCTGTGAGCTGTTGCTCAGGAGGAAGGGTAGCAGGGCTGGGGCATGGGCAAATCTCTAGCAGTTTCTCTGTAATGGGTACTAGGCTCATGGCTCTGTGTTTGGGCCACAGCACATGTCTCTGTGGCCAGATTAGGACTGTGCTGGGAACAGCCAAACTCACTTTACTTGTGAAAGTCTTGCACCTGTCACACCCCAGTTCGGGCCCAGAACCACCCTCAGGTCCTTAACAACATAACAAAGCCGTAGTCGGTGTCAGTGCTGTGCTGCTCAGCCTATGAATACCTGGACATTCAGGGTGGCAGCAGCAGCACTTGGATCCTCCTGTTCTAAAAGGCATCCCTGCCCTCTCTGGACTCTGCATCAGCTACTGGCAGTACAGGGCACATGACACAATTGATCTGTGCAGAATCCATTCAGTAGAGTGCAGCAGTGCACAGACACACTGGCCAGTTCAATACCTTCCCTATTAGGGAAGACACGGGGATTTCCCTGCGTTAATGCATGCCAGTGGGGTCCCCTACCAGCTCACAGGGGCAGACATCACAGATGACAGAGGCATCAATTTTCAGGCTGTCGCTCAGTGAGGAGGGTTTCACATGGATTGTTCCCTGCCGGTCTTTCTCCTGGAGGTTGCAGACATGCTCCCCACCCACCTTCTCCAGGGCTTTCAAACGCAGATTGAATTTGCCCTGAAGGAAAGAGAGATGCTTCTATTAGCCACCTGTACTCAAAGCTCCTTTCTGGATCCAGGTGGTACTTTTTCTGCAGGGGAAGGCTGGAGAAATGGCCAAGTGAAGGAAGGAAGGAGACAACCTTTCTACCATGTCTCCTTTCCAGGTCAATGAGATCTGGCCGCAGACAGATGGACTTCAAGGTACTTTCCTCCACCATTATCTGTATTATAATAGTGTCTGGGGCAAGATCCCATACACAAAACAGAAAGAAGGAACTTGAAATCTAAGAAAGCCTATTCCCTGCTCCCACAACACCAAGAGACCATGTATGTTCACAAACTACTGTTAATCTACACAGGCTGAGAAGGTGAGACCAGAGGGCAGAGAGTGGGAAGAGAAATTTATTTCCCTCCCCTGCTATAGCTTCTTGTGGGACCAGGGACAAATTCCTCAGTCTCTCTCTACCTTCGCTCCGCACCCATAAAATGGTGGTAATGGCTTTGCCTCACTGCAAAGGCATCTGAAGATAAGTACCTCCATGCTGTGACGTGCTCAGGGACCCCATGATACCCCAAGAAGCTACGTGGACTTACCACTTCCCCGCGGGAGACAAAGAAGGAGCCCGACTCAGTCTTTTCATACTTCAAGGAAGTAATGTTGAACTTGATGGATCTGGGGACAGAGTCCATGCGGATTTCCATCTTGGAACGGATACGCTGGTGGGAGGGTGGAAAGAGGGTATCAGCCCTGGCGTGTAGCTTCCCTGCACTACTCCTCCCCTCAGTCTGCCTGGAGGTGCTGTGGTGTTCATACACTGTTCTGCTCCTTCTTCCCTGCCCCCAGTAACCCAGTGGCTTGACTTTGAGCCAGTCTGAGAGCCCACAGGCGCCCTTACCTCAAAAGCTGTGCGAATCAGCTCTACAATATTGGAGGAGTCTTCCTGCAGCACTCCAATTTCCGAGAGGGGGAAATACCGGTGCAGTTTCTGCAAACAATCAGAGGGATAGGGTCAGCCCCAAAACCCTGCTGTCATGCTGTGCTTCCCATGACAGGCAGGAAAAGGTTCATTTTCATCAGTTGGCACCAAAGGTAACAGGCTCCAAATTTCTGCTGCAGAGGATGCTGTCACCAGACATGTTGCTCAGCAGACTTGCCAGGTGGTATTTCCCTGCAACCTGTCCCAGTGGCTCTATCTTGCTCATGGAATTGGATTTACTGAATAAATGCCAGTGGCGGTGGGGGGAGTGGGCATGAGCCAGACCTCCGCACTGTGCAGGTGGCCCCAGGTGGGGCTAAAGGGTGGTTTCTCTCAGGTTTTTTCCTGCTTCAGATACATTCATCAGCATGTCACCCTCCAGGGACAGGCCCACTGCCACAGGCTGGAAGAGGGGACAAGTTTCAATGAGTGTTTTTAGAGGGGGAGGGGAGCTGAGGCAGCCTAAGATCTAGAAGGCCCCTTCTTCACACCCCCTCACTCCCTGCACTGTAAGTTGAGGCTTCTCATCAGTGTAGTCCACGAGAACCTCCCCTACATGAATGAATTTGTCCTCACAGCATCCCCAGAGGTGGGAACAGGTTATCCTCCCCATTTTAGTGAAACTGAGGCACAGAGCTGTTGTTTCACCCAAAGGCACAAGGGGGCACTTGTGAAAGAGATGGGAACAGAACCCAGAGTTCCTCTGCACCCCACCCTTACCCCTTGCCTTGCCAGTGCCCTCACAATGCCCCAACCTGCACCTCCTATGTACAACTGGCACATTGGGTACGTTTATTTAGCAAACTGGAGTTACAGCTGGGGCTGCTCCAAAAGCCTGGATAACCGTCACTCCTGAATTATGGGAAAGCACTGGTCCAGATTCAAACTTTATAGCTGTCCCTCCCTCTATAATAGGCTGCTCTAGAACCCAGAATCTGGGCAGCTCTGCAGTTGGGAAGCATTCAGATCCAACACCTGTCTCTCTTCCTCAGCTTCATATTGAGATCAAATACACTCAGAAGGAAACAGCCAGCGATCTCTCTGGGATGCATTTAGCCACTGGATGTCCCCACTGCTTCACAAGAGACAAACACACAAGCCCTGCTCATGGCAGCATCAAACTCTACAGTTCTGAGCCCTGTTTTTTTTATCTCACTTCAGGGCTTCACATCCCCTGACTGATCATGATCAGTCCAACATGCTCCACTTCATCCATGAAAAAACAGAGTGCAGTAGAAGTTAGGAGAGCAAGAGATCATTTCCCCCCAGGCTCCCTACTCAGGAAGCCCAGCATCAGCTTAAATGCGTTTCACTCCTGGACCTATTTGATTTAATCTGAAATCTGCTCCTCAAGCAGTGACCTGTAGGTTAAAGGTGCCGTTTCACACAGCTTGTCTGCTCCAGCCCAGCAGAGATCTGATGAAGCAAATGGAAGGAGGCCAGATTAGGTAGTACCCTTGGATAATGACTGTTGCCTCCTTTCCTAAATTGTAGCCAAACTGCAGGCCAACCAGTGGGTCCCTTCACTAAGTTTAACCCTTATTGTTAACTGTATTCATAGTGTTTCCTCCAGACCATATTCCTCGACTCTCTGCCTCGGGCTCCTCCTTACCTCATAGTAGCTGTAGGAGTGGTTGGTGACAGCAAAGATGGGTATGATGTTGTGCTGGCCCAGCAGGCGCACGAGGGTGGGCACGGAGGGATAGTCCTGCTTGGTGTCATAGGTGTAGGTGCCGTCCTGGCTCAGGTGGCACTGCTCGTCGTTACGCCGCAGGATCCCAGACAACACGTTGGTGCCGTCGGCTTCGTAGTGGAAGGCGGACTCAGTGGAGAAGACCAGCAGGTGAGTGCTGTCCTTCCTCCAGCCAATGCTCTCCTAGGGCCACAGGGGTGGGAAGGGAGGGATGTTCATATTTACTTAACCACCATAAACAGAGCACAGAGCCAGTCCTATTCGAAAGGCCTGGAGCCAGCTGATGGGACTCTTTGGATGAGTTTCTCAAAGGATCTCGAGGGAGCGAAGCACCTGACTCCCCACAGAGGGTCAATGGGATTGAGGTACATGGAATTTTTAATTCCAGCCTTCACCATTACCCCTCCTCCCCATGCCACAAACACTGCTGCAAAGACAAGCCACTTAAAACAGCACACATGAAAGGGTTAATGCCCTTTGTCAGCTCCCATGGTGGTGGTGTTCCTCAGCAGTCCCCTCCCACTAACTCTAGGGTGTTTCAGCACCATCCAGCCATATCAGACAAGTTCCCGAGCAGACTTGGACCTGTAGAAATACCCAGTTCCCCAGCTGGTGGGAAAAAACTGCAGCCAGGACCTGCAGGCACCTGGGGAATGGATCCACACAGCCACAGGAGCAAGGGGAGAGGAGACAGCACAGGAGACAAAGACACAAGGGAAGCAGTGCGCCCAGGGCCTGGCTCCTGGGCCTGTCATTCTAACACCAGACTAGGGTTGTCCACTCAAAAGGCTTTACTATAGGGAGAACTGGAAAGGCAAGATGAGCTGCCAGACAGCGACAGCAGTGAGAGGAGTGGGATGGACAGTCCAGGAAAGTAGTAGCTCCTGCCACATAGGGCTGAGGTCTGGTTGCAGGTCAGCTGCATTGCTAGCTGCCCAGACCACTTCTCTCCCCCACTCCAATGCACAGAGCATTGAGAGAAGCCAAACCCTTCCAGGCCCCACCTTGCAAACAGCCGTCTGGAGGATGGCATCAAAGCCACCCTCTGGGGCATCCAGGTTGCCGGAGATACGCTCCTTCAGCAGCTCCTGGCTGAAGTGGTCAATGTTGCTGGTCAGGCGGATGACGTTCTTGAAGGAGAAGGGAGGATCAGCATCATTCCAGGGCTCTTGTAGCCTGGTGGGGGAAAGGGAGCAAAAGGCTTTCAAATGGGGCTGGGGAAATCATGGACAGATCATCACAGCCAGCATCATGTGTACAGTGGACGAAATTGCTCCTGCCTCACAAACCTCAGCAGGACATCAACAGAAAGTAGAGGGGACACCAAAAGATGTAAGGCTTATGGAGAGATTTGAAGCAGGGGGCAGAGATGAGTCAGAGTGAAAGAGCCCCCTTCCAAGTGCTGGGTAACATGAATGAAGGCTTAAAGCTGGGAGGTCAAAAAGTGACAGGTGGAGGAGTGACAGGAGAGGACTAGGACAAGCTTAGGAAGTGAGAGCTGAGATGTAGGTGGGGATAGGATTAGGAAGGGCTCTGGCAGAGAGGATGGGCACTGAATGACATGCATCAGGATGTGGGAAGCCAAGGCTGGGACCCAAGGAGCAGGGGCAGTGTGATTGTGTGGCACTGCCAGCCATGTTTGGGAGAAGACAGGGAGGCAGGACAGCAGAGGTTTGTAGTAAATCACAGCAGGAGAGGGTCAAAGCCTGGTCAGGGTGTGATTTAGTCCTGGAGACAGTAAGAAATAAGGTGAGCATTTCCTGTCCCCTCTCATCTAAGCCTGTCTGTTGGGACCCAACGGCTTCACTTACTTCTCAGGTCTCATGTCTGTTTGTGGAACTGAGACTTTGTCCACGAACTTGCCAAACCCGATGGTATAATTCGAGGTCAGTTTTCGCAAGACCTCCGCTGAGGAGAGGAGAGAGAAGTGAGCTGGGAGATAGCCTTGGGCTGTTGTTGAGGACAGCTCCCTTTTCTGGGCACCTTCTCCCTAAGCTTTTTTGAATGCCACATCTCAGGCAGGAATCCTGGCTAGCACAAGGGCTGCCCATAATTCCCTGCTGTTTCTCATTTTACTCCTGATGTCAAGATCTTTGGGGTAGAAATGGACTCTTTGTTCTGCATCTACACAGAACCTACCACAGTGGGGTCCTAGTCAGGGACTGGGGCTTCTGGGTGCTATAGAAACATAGAAAATGCAGGCTGGAAGGGAACTCAGGAGGTCACATCTAGTTCAACCCCCTGCTCAAAGCAGGACCATCCCCAGCTAGATCATCCTAGCCAAGATTTAAAGAGTCTCCAAGGATGGAGACTCCACAACATCTCTGGGTAACCTGTTCCAGTGTTTCACCACCCTCCTAGTGAGAAAGTTTTTCCTAATATCTAACCTAAACTTCCCTTGCTGCAACTTGAAACAATTGCTCTATCATCTGCCACCACTATGGTCACTGAAATAACTAATAACTCTTATCATCATGGGATTAGCCTCAGGTCTAACTCATTGGTCCCCAATCCTGGCTTAGCAGGTGACAGCAAGGGCCAGGAGGAAGACCCCAAGCTGGGAGAAAGGGGCTAGGCCTGAGCAAACCAGGAGTGGCCAAGAACAGACACTATGTGGCTCTGTGCTGGCCACAGCACTTGCTACCCCTGATGGGACACCCTCAGCCCACAGCTGGTGCAAGCTATCAATTGTGGGGTAGGCCCTGGCCTCACCTAGCTGCTGGCCCATTTTCTTGAGGTTATCCAAGTCGTCAGACATGGAGTAGGAGAAGTCCATGAGGATGTAGAGATCCACAGGGCTCTCGAGGGGCTGGAAGACATCCATGTCAAAGCTGGCCTCCTCCCCGGCTCTCAGCCGCATGTACATCTGCTGCGGAGACACTTGGGTTTTCTTCAGAAAGGTGTTGATGCTGATGTTCTACCAGAGGAGAGACCAACAAAGTGTTATGAGAGTTGCAGAGGAAATTGGAGCTGAGATATACACAGATGCCTACCACACAAGGGATGAACTTCTTTTGCCCTTGAACTGCATGCTCAGGGCAAGGACTGTTGGAAGCGTATGGCAAGACTGGTCCTGGCAGAAAGGCTGGGCTTTGTACCCAGGGGCCCACGGTTGGGTGAACCACCCCTCTCCCCCAATTCTCTCTTGCATTAACAGGGCCGGATTCCTCATTAGCTACATGGCTCCTTATAGTCAGTGAGTTGATGCTTATTTACCCTGCTGGGTCCTCCCACCAGCTTGCAACTAGCCAAGGGAGAGCTGTGTGTTTGAGTGGGCCCTACATAAACAACAGCTCCTTGTATTGACACCCTCCCAACAGCATAGCGAAGAATCCTAACGAGACATTTAGGAATCTGGCAGAGATGTGTAATTGTAACCAGCCCATAACTAGTCAGAGACACGTTGATGCCCTTTTCTTAATGAAATCAGGATAAAAGCCTGCTCAAGGAAGTGATGAGCCATAGACTGGTGGATTATTGCTGAGGTTCAAACCATGCTACACTCACCTGCTGGACACTCATCTCGCCTTTCATGTACACGATACCGGCCTTACTGCAGCCGTACAGCACCAGGTTCTCTGTCAAGTCACATCGGCTGTCTTTGAAGTTCTGTGGTAAGAGAGGAGGGGAAAAGCACAAACACAAAAGCTCAGCAGAGACCTCTGTGGAGGGATACCATGCAATGCCTCAGAGGGGCAGGCTCCCTTCTACACTGGGATTAGAGTGAGAGGGGGCAGAACAAGCCAGTGTGGGCAGGGACTCTGCACCAGAGAAGCCCCCTTACTGTTATCAGAGTCTGCGAGCTGGGACCAGACCCTCAGCAGCCTGTGCATCGAGTCCTTCATAAACTGCCCTGCTAACAAATTCATTCTTCCCAGTTCCCATTTGTTTCATGTCCAGAAGCAGCAGACATGGAAGAAGCCTCATATATAGTGGCCTTCAAAGGGTTGGCCTGAATTTCCCCCTGAGAATAGGGGGCTGGGCCGGTACTGAACTGGGCCAAAGGGGAGAAGCAACAGGTTGAAGGACAAAAATAGGCTGGAGCCAAAATACTACCAAGCTTGGAGGGGTTCAGCTTGGAGCTGAATGGGCTCAAAGTCAAGTCTGGCCCCTTATCGAGAGAGGTCTGCATTGTGAAGTGGCCCCATCCTGGATTCTGCTAGGGGTCCCTCGCTGTCGGAAGGGGAAGACACCCGACTGAATGTGGAAACTGGAGCTGTCACAGTTTCTGGGACTGGGGAAACTAGGGCCCCTGTGCCCTTGGGAAGGGGGATGCTCACCTCATCCGTGCAGTAGGAGCAGTCCTTGTCCACTCGGATACATTCTGTGCAGCTCTTTGCCCTGGAGGCCACACAGCTATTAACTAGGAGGCAAGAACAAAGCATCAAGAGCACAGGGATCCTGCCGTCCCTTGTGAGCATGAGAAGGAACAAGTCACAATGAAGAGGCTCCCTGAAATTGAGCTTTATTACACAAGAATGGGAGCTGGTTCAAGCCAGAAACAGCAGGTAGGGAAGAGAGAGCTGTCCAGACCAGTGGGAGAGCTATGGTGAAGAAGGGAGAGTACACACGAGAGGGATGTGGTAAAGAGTGGGTTTTTATGGATCAGCACAGGAACCGAGGAGACGGGACTCCTGGCATTGCCCTCAGCTCAGTCCCCAACTCAGCTACTGGCAGAAGGGTCTGTACAAGGAGGTTAGTGGGTGATAACAGGGCAACCTGAGTGTGATGTGCCCCAGCATTCATGGGGCCAAGGAAGGGAAGTACAGACTTCCAGGAGTTTTGTGAGAGGCAGAGGGTGCCAAGAGCTGAACTTACTTTTGTTCTTTTGGCACAGGCCCGTGGCACAGAGCAGGGACAGCAGGAGCAGCCTGGCCCATATCCTGTGGAGTGACACATCCATCCTCTTCCTCCTGAAATACAGCAAGAAATATTACCATGATGTACAGTGGGGATCAAAAACCGTGGGATTAGCCACATGGCATCCGGCCATTGAATGATCATAGCTGAGATGCCACAGAGGATTCCAGTGCCAGGCACAGGACTGGCAAACCCTACAGGGAGGAACCCTCCCCAGCCTGGCGGAGTGGAGTGCAAGGAAGACAAATTTTATATGGGAATTATGCCATGCAGTAAGTACTAGGGCAGGGCATGAGAACAAAGGGTGGACTTTATTCCCCCAGCCACGTGTTCCTATCTTGAAGAAGCATCTGATGGTCTGTGCAAATATCAGTCTTCAGTGAACCCTGTGCAATGTCTTCCTGCTGGCACCTGCCCCTCAGCACAAGTTCAACTCGGTCACCTTTCCCTGGCAGATGCTCTCTCCATGCTAGGCTCTGCATCTATGAGCTGGGAGGTCTCCTAGATATTCAGGAGGCATTAGGCATGGCGAGCAGTCTCTGTACAAAGGCTCAGCCCTGCACTTTGCATGTGCTGCAGGTCTGGCTGGAGGGGCACCTATAGAGTTGCAGGCTGCAATCAAAGTGCAGAGGCTGGGCTGCGTTGGGGATGTTTGCACGATGCTTGTGTCTGAACTTGACAGTGCTATTCAGGCTGTGCCGTCTCCACCCCTTTGCTAGCTGGCCCTTTCTTTCAGTGACTCTTGTTTCTCAGATGTGTGTTTTAAAGCACAGTAGGATCAGGATTCTTCACTGGGTCAGCTTTCCTACCCCTCTGCAAAGAGGAGGTTTGCAAAGTAGATTTCATAGAAAGTAACCAGGTGGATGTAGAGCAACAGCAAACAGCTGCACAGGGAAAGGAAGTGCTACAGCCTTCCTTCTCCGATGAGCTGTGTGGAACAACTGATGAGCTCCACCTGAGTGGAGAAACTTTGGAAACAAAGGCCACAGCAAACAGCTGAGCAGGGCATTCTTAATGTGACAGTTGACTGTGAATTAATTGGGCTGGGAAACAGCCTTATCCAAATATCTGGGTTCTTCTTTGCTCAGCGCTTGCTGACTCTTTTGCAGACACCCTCACCCAATCTCAGCACTGGTAAAACACACAAACAGCTCTCTGTCTTCCAGGCCAAACTAAGACTGGGAAACCCCTATCAGATGGGGCATGTCTAGAGGTTGGCACACCCAAACCTCACTTGAATCCAGGTAATTTAAGCACCAATTAGCAGTGAAGACGTGACAGCACAGTGTTCAGCCCAGGCATGAACAGCCCACGCTGGACCCACCCTCCTGGGTACTCTTTGCTACTGATATGGAGCTGTCTAGGTTAAAAGCTATCTGGACTGCACACTCCCTACTGTAGGGCAGACAGCCATAGACTGCCTGCACCCTTCATCAGAGACCTATCTATGGACTAGCAGTTGAACAGGCCACTGCTAATCAGATGCAAACGCCAGTCCATGTGTATGACTCATGGCCAGAACAAGAACCCCCTTTTCCTTGAGTCAGGTCTTGTGGACTAATGAGAGAGCTGAAGAAGGAAAAAAACAAGGTGATTTTCCAAATCTTGCCCCTGAAGCTAAACAAACCCCTCCCTTTGGCTATTTCCTATTGTACCTAAAATTTCCAGGATGGCACCAACCAACAATGAACATCAGATGGGGCCTTGGAAAGTGCCAAGATTCCAGGGAGTTCCGATTTTTGGCCTACAATGGTCTTTTGAATAAATCTGCATTCCTGAGAGCCAGCAAAAGCAATTTCGCTTCTCCTGACCTTCCCAAAGCTGCTAGAGAGAAACTGCTCATAAAACGTGGAAGTGCTTGACCACTTTTCCTGCAGTTGCAATATAACCAATATAATATTCTGTGGTGCTACAATGTGCTCCCGATGCAGGTGGCTCCTGGTAAACAAAGGAGACTGAACTGGGACTCAAGCTTATCAGAAGCTATTCTGCAAGCATGTCTTTGCCTCCCAACCCAAGGTCCTCCACCGGCAAAATAAGCCCACTGACAAAGTAAGCCTGCTTACTCCTTTGTGGTGTACTAGAGATCAATTAGGCAGAGCAGATGGCTTGGAGTAGCTCTGAATTTATGTCCCAGTGCTGTGTTCAGGCTCTTTGCAATGGAAGAAAGAGACTGAGACCAGGACTGGGTAGAGGGGAACATCCCCAAGCCACATAGCACCATTCCTATGCCATCTATTCTGCTTGTATTTGCAGTGGCTTTCTATGGTGAACACCTCCTCTATATAAAGCACCATGATAGCCTATACTAGGACCTGAGGGACAACCCGATTAAAAACTTCAAGACAAAAAATCTGGTCTAATATGTTTCTAATATACCGCTGGCTGGAGAATGTAAGCACTGCGTGCATGAATTAACGTCACAATGAGAACTACCTTCAGATAGTGGTTTCCATCCTCCCTCCCACCCATCCCTGCACCATCTCTTTGTATTCCATGTTCCCGACCATGAGCAGGATGTTAAAAATGAACAAGACCATGAAACACATGAAAGCAGGAATCTTTAGGGACGCCAGAAATGATGCCCGTCGGATTGTTGCGCACAGCGGAAAGCTTGCCGATTCCTACTGGAGGACCCAGTGGGATGAACTGTGCTTTGAGAATTAGCCGGCCCCACTGATTAAAGCCTCCTGAAATCAGTGGAAAGAGTTCCATTGCCATCAGTGAATTTTGGATGTGGCACAAGCCCTGACCCCAGCAAAAAAGCTGTATATATTTAAGGTTTTTCCCCTATGGGAGTCAATGGAAATTCTCACAGCGCATAATACCGGGTATGGATAGAAGCATTTGCAAGATAAAGGCCTAAATAAGTCAACATTTATAAGGGAAGGGTCTCTCTGATCTTTGTCCTGTGTCTATTTATAGTGCTCTTGGCATTTGAGAACCTGGATAATACCTGACAAAATGGATTGGCATCATTTATCTTGTTGCACTTCTGCTTTATGGCAGTGCTTAGTACACATACAGCATGCCAGTAAATGCACCACAGTGCCGGTAGTCCACACGATAAGAGATTACACCAGGACATCTTTGTTGGGAGAGACCCATTCTAATTTTTGTTATGCTGTTAATTACGATATATGGCCTTCAGCAAGGGTCCACTATGAATTATGGACTTGGTGCCACCCACTTGTCACCAAACTCCCCCCTTTCTTTGACAGGTAGCGGAAGTTTATTTTTTAAGTGTTTAAAGTGCAGTTATTGCTGGCGAGGGGTGTGTCTGATTGCTTGGAGACCAACATCCTCTATTTATCCTTAGATCAGCTGTGACTTCCTCCCTTAGCTCCCTGCCAGCGTGTTTTACCTACTCCTCCGGAAACGCCCTTCTCTTAGGCACCAGAGGACAGTTCAGTCTTCTCTTTTCAGGCTCCGGAGACTTGTCATCACTAGCCAAAT